TTAATGTGGAACCACTTCATTATGGGCCACACGCGTAACTACTTTCACATCGATCTCAAAGGCAAAACAAAGCATTAAACAAGGTAATTTAGGCAAGACAAGGTGGACCTAGTTGGCCCAATTGATCAATCAACTCACTCTAATACTAAGTTAACATTTCATATACTCGACCAATCGCCCCCTATTATTGGTCGCACAATTTGCATCCAATGACCTGCACAACACTACAAGCGAGAGGTTCAACAAACGAAATATTTCGCAACTGACCTAACATAAAATCAGGTACCTAATTCTAATAAGTATCATTCTTATTGGGAATTTCCACTTAAGGTTTCTTTCGTCTTAGACGTGGACCTATTTAATATGTCACGTTTAGGTCTATCAACTCTTTTTTTTACAGATATTAGTATATAGTCTAGTGATCAGTATCTTCTCTATTTAAAAGTAAAAAGTATCATGTTTGATTCATTTAAACAAATTCAATAATTAATTAAATAGTGGTAGTACAAGCCCCACACTCGTCAGAATATCGTTGTATCAAACTACTGTTACCTTAAAACAAAACAAAAAATAGTTGTAGGAACATTTGGGCCAGAAACAAATAATCAGGAAATCAACTCATTTGCACGACTGGAAAAAAAAGGCTTTCACCTCGCTCTCCTCTTCAGCCCAGTTTCCTAATTAGGACCCAATAGCTATGTTTTGTTCTTCAACCACTATCAAATTCAAGCCCAATACACACAAATACGACGGGCTTAGAAGCACCTCATTCCTCTGTAAGGAAAAGGTAAGTCTGCTTACATGGCCACCAAACATTAATTTTGGTGGGCATATTCTCGACTTCCTAAAAAGATAAAGGTGATAATAAGATTCAAATTATAGGAGAGTCGAGAAAATAAGTGACATACCATCAGTTGTCATGAGAGAGAATGAGGGAGAGGTCGTCTCTGCAAATGATGGAGTTGAAGATGTATTTGAATTATTTCCTTCAAGTTTTTAATTATGTAACATCGTGAGTGTAATTATATTGGCTAGATAAAAATGTGCTTCCCTATGTATTTGAGTTTAAAATCTCATCCCACAATTTAAACTAATTTGAAGAAAAATATTGTTTGTATTAAAAGAAAAAAATGAAGTTTAAGAAAGAAAATAATAGCAAAGTAGAACATTAAAGGTGAAAGTTTTTTTTTTGGATGAGTTGAGGTAAAAGTTCTTAGTCGTTTTATATATGATGCATGTTAATCTGTTTGTTATCGATATGATTTCATGCAAGTAACATTTTTTTATTAACAACGGTAGCTTTAGCTAGTTAAACTATTAGTTTGGGGTTGCTGTGTGAAAAAAAAGGAAGGGTACAGCAGCCTCGGCTTTCTACTATTTTGTACCCATGATTTTGACAAAAAACAATTTTTTTTTATTTACCAAACACAATTTTAGCTCTAACTTTTTAAAATAACCTCAACAATGCCTAACTCGCCTCTAGTAGAGTGGATCGGTGGGGATTGAACCGAAAACTTGAAATAAAAACGAAATTACAAGGGCAAAACCGAAAAATTAAAATATTAATCCATCGAAGATCCCTCACATAATTTCCCTTTCCCATAATCTTCACGTACAACTCTTTCACCTTCTCTAGTCTTCTTCTTTTGCATTGCTGCGTTTCTCCTCAACTCCTCCAACCAATATTACACACACAGAGATCCGACGAGTTTGGGAAAACCCTAACCCTGATTCAATCCACAATCCCGTCAATAAAACGCATCAGTCCGTCCAACTCCCGACTGCTATCAGGTTGGCTCTGTTTTTATTTGTTTTAATTCCTTTTAGGAACTAATTTAATTATGCTCTAGTTGAATTTCTCGATCCTTTTGCAGATAATTCGTTCATTCAGTATGGTTAGGTCGATTATATATACGTGAGTAATTGCTATGGTTTGCTAGTTAAGATCCATGCAATTTGCAAATGGCGGACTTCTCTGGTGTTTAGGGTTTTTCTTTTCATCACGTTGCGTTTTGGGTGTAAACCTTCTCTTCTTTCCTTTAGGGCTGGTTTGAGATTATGGTGCTTTAAAAAAAAAAACAGCTTATTAAAAAATATGGAACATTAAATGTGTTTGGTAAAACAAAAAAAAAAGTGCTTGTTTAAAAAACTGTTGACAATGACAGTAGAAAAGCAGAAGCAAGGTCTACCATGCTTTTAATTTTTTTTTTTTTTTCAAAGCATAATAATCAGTGCTCATGTAATAAAATTTTCAAATGGCAAATATACCTGTTTTACAAAATTACAATTTTTGCCCCTACATTATTATTTTTAACAATTATTATATCACATTAAATACCATATCCTTTTTAGTCATTTAACATATTCAAAGTAATTTATATAAAAGTTTATCAAACACTCAGACACCATTTTTTTTATTTTATTAAAAGCACTTTTACATAAAAAAAAGTTTACCAAACAATCAACAACTTTATTTTACAGTTATTTATTTTCACAACACAGTAGAAGCAGTGGAAAAAAAAAAACACAGCAATACCAAACTAGCTCTTAGTAGTAAGCATGGAAGAAAATGCCGATAATATCGGCGAAATATCGCCGATATTATCGGTTTTTCGGGGTATGGATATTCTAAGTGGTATCCGAGTGGTTTTCGGCCAAATATCGCGATAATATCGCTAATATCGATAATATCGCGATATTAGCGATATTATCGCGATATTAGCGATATTATCGCGATATTAGCCATAATATCGTCGAGGATCCTCCGTCGTCGTCGTCGCAACGACAGCCGAAGAAGAAATGGGGGGGGGGGAGAACCGAAGAAGAAACAAGGAGAAGTCGGCTTCCGGAGGCAGAACGTCGACAAGGGCTTCCGGAGGCAGAACGTCGGCTTCAGATTCTTAAGGCGGCTGTACAGATCGTCCTCGTCGGAGGCCTGGATCTGTTCGGTGTAGCCCTGGAGGTTGGATCTGATGGAGGGGATCGATGCCGGTGGCTCCGGCGAGGGCTTCGTGTCTTCGTGTGTGTGTGTGGTCTGTGTGGTCTGCGTGTGTCGTCGGAGAGGGAGAGGGTATGGATGTTGCTCACGGGTAGAGAGGGAGAGGGTGAGGGCGACTTGAGGGAGAAAGAGCTCGGGGAGCTTCGAAGAGCAGAAGAGGGAGTGAAGGGAGAAAGGAAGAGAGATGAGAGAGGGAGTACGGGAGAAAGGGCGCGTGTGGGTCCTTAGGCTCAAGAATTAAGACCCAAAAACTATTTTTAATTAGGAGTGGGGTGTGACATCACGTGTAGACTTGTTTTTATTAATACATTATGAACGTTGTAACTTGTTTGTATTAATACATTACGAACGACACTTAAATTTTTTACTATATAAAAGGATTTTGTTGTCTACATATTGTATTAATTCATTATATATAAATGATTACGGTGTGTTTAAATTTCTTTTATTAATTACTACATATTTTCTACACTCACAATGTTTGCCAGCTCGCTATATAATCAACTTGATAATGTTAAATCCATCATGCAATGCATTTCCTTTCAATTTTTTGTGATAAACTAATAGATAATTGACTAAATAAACATCCTGCAAAGTTTCAATAAAAATTTCCAAGTTTTTCTTACAATTTCCGTAGTTTCCATGTAATTTTTATCGATATCGATATTATCCCGATATTTCCATCGATATTTCCGTGATTTCGGACTACCGATATTTCCGATATTACCGATATTTAATACCTTGGTAGTAAGTTAAATATTTTTAAGTATCACCGTGAATACTAATTAGTATTATGGAGCATAAAAACACCTAGTTTTTGTGGCTTGAAACTGTATCATTGTCACAATACTACATAACTCCAATGTTTTTTCTGTTATGTGGAAAAATATTATGAAAGGTTAGTGGTTAAGAACATTTACTGGTGTACGGATATCTTGTATTCGATTTCTCCAGTCATATCACTTGTATTAAAAACAAATGAGGTACTGTTTTTTCAATCTATGATAAATAATGATATTTTAAATAAATACTTTTCATGATAATATCCACATATAAATGGACCTAGTATACAACATAAACAATTGACACGCTCTGATCTCGATGACCGGGGGACAACGGGATGGCCACGTGCTGGCCGACATCCGAGGATGACGCAAGCCATTTAATGAATGCATATGCCAAGAACATGTGAAACATGCATATAAATTTCGCGCGAACTACGCAATATAATATTCAAATACAAACCTTACCAAAATAATATAATAATATTCCGCCGTCAATAATATGATAGTGATAATGCATGACATGTTCAAAGCATACATTTTGTTTGTACCATACTTAGGGCCTCCTTATTTAGATCTCGTATAAATACTCGAGGACTTAAATGTAATTATGTAATAAAGGAAGGAGCAAATATGTAATAAGTGAGGAGCCCTTATTCTATAAAAGGGACTCCTCACTCTCACAATAAGGGCAATCCTCCTTACCCCCAGAGACCTCACTCTCACCTCACAAACTCCCTCACATTTAGAGAGCCTTATTCTCACACTACAGAGGCTTTTTCCCTCACAATCTTCTCAGAGAAATACAATAATCAGTGTGGACGTAGCCCAAACATTGGGGTGAACCATGATACATTTTGTGTTATTTACTTTCTTGCAGATTCACGGTCGGATTTACGTTGTTCCAAGACCCCTCCGGTTTTGTGCATCAACATTTGGCGTCGTCTGTGGGAATCGACACGAAAAGTTATGTCGGTTCTTTCTCAAATTTTCACCTCCGCCGTGAATCTGCAAAAACCCAAAAAAACCCTCAAATCTCTTTCTCCTCCGCAACCCAGTTTCTCTCTCCTCAATTTTGGCACATTTCAGATAGCGGTGACAGACACCTTCATTTCCTACTTCTTACCATTCACATCATCCCCTCCCTATTTTCTCAGTAACCAAACACACCAAAAAAAACATGGGGCCGTACCGATCATGGCCGGTCGTGGCAGTCCTCATCCTCATGATCTTCACTGTCTCATCGGCCCTCGACATGTCGATCATCTCCTACGACAGCAACAACCACCTCGGAGACAACAAGTCGTTGGGCAGCTGGAGGACCGACAATGTGGTGATGTCGATATACGAGGGGTGGCTGGCGGAGCACGGAAAGGCATACAATGCTTTGGGAGAGAAGGAGAGAAGTTTCCAGATCTTCAAGGACAACCTTAGGTACATCGACGAAAAAAACTCCAAGAACCTTAGCTACAAGCTCGGTCTGAACAGGTTCGTCGATCTGTTGAACGAGGAGTACCGGAACACTTACCTCGGCGCCAAGACCCGGGCACAGATGAAGCGGGTGTCCAACAGAAACATCAAGAGCGACCGATACGCGCCACATGTAGGCGATTCGTTGCTTGACTCCGTTGATTGGAGGAAGGAGGGCGCGGTGAGTCCAGTCAAAGACCAAGGCAGCTGCGGGAGTTGCTGGACATTCTCAACTATCTCCGCCGTGGAAGGTATCAATAAGCTAGTCACCGGCGATCTCATCTCCTTATATGAGCAGGAGCTGGTAAACTACGATAGAACGTACAATGAAGGCTGCAATGGAGGTCTTACGGACTATGGCTTCAAGTTCATCATCAATAATGACGGCATTGATAGCGAAGAGGACTATCCTTACAAAGGATATGATGCCACATGTGACACCTACAGGACTCCAAAATTGATATTTTCCACAGGTTTCTTGAGCTCCAGTCCGCGCTCGAAGGGTCCGTCCCGGGAAAGGTCTCTGTTCCGCCGGTAGAGTTGCCACCAAGTTCTACGCTGTTGAAGCTGGATTATGAGGAGATATTGAATGTTTGGTCCGATAAGGGACCACTATACATTGATAGAGGAGATTCCCCACAAACTGTACCTGACTTGATGCATCAGCAGAATCATCAGCTTTTTTAGCTCAATGAAGAAAAGAGAGAAAGCAAAAGCAAGTGAGAGACACACGGGTCGACCGAGAAAAAGAGAAAAGCAAAAGTAAAAAAGGAAAAGCATTTATGGGTTGTCTTCCATTTGGAGGATCCAGCTGAAAGAAGCTTTCCCATTTCGGATTCCCTTCTACTCATTCATTTCGGCGCAGAGGCAGACTGTAAAGATTAATTGGGTGCACATGCATGACAGCAGCGCACAGACAGAAAGCAGAAAGCAAAAGCAAGGAATAAACACCCACACTGCAAAAGCAAGGAGTAAACACCCACCAGAATGATGTGATTTACTTTTCTTGTTTTTGAATGATGTAGTTTATTTTTTCTTATCTTTCAGAGACATCTATATAACCCCATCAGAAGGTAATAATAATAAAAAAAAAATGGCAAGCCCAAAATAATGGGCTGCAATGTTATGTGGAGGGCGAAGGCCCATATGCCTAAAAGAGCCAAGCCCTATGACTCCACAATTATTCGGCACCCTACCGCTATTATCACCAACCAGGTGATCAAAAGTACGTCTAGTACTTCCAAAATTATTCGGCACCCTGCCATTATTATCACCAACTAGGTGATCAAAAGTACGCCTAGTACTTCCAAAATTATTCGGCAATCTGCCACTATTATCACCAACCAGTTGATCAAAAGTACGTCTAGTACTCCAAAATTATACATGAGCATCACTCATGTCAATCATACATAAGCATTCATGAGCATCACTCATGTCAATCATACATAAACATTCATGACCATCATTCATGTCAACATTTATGAGCATCACTCATGTTAACATTCATGAGCATCACTCATGTCAACATCCATGAGCATCACTCATGTCAATCAACATAAACATTCATGAGCATCACTCATGTCAATCTAGCTTCGAAAACTTCATTTACAGAGCTCTAGCTTCAAAAACTTCATTTACAGAGCTCTAACTTCAAAAGCTTCATTTACAGAGCTCTAGCTTCAAAAGCTTTATTTACAGAGCTCTAACTTCGAGAGCTCCAACTTCAAAAGCTTCATTTACAGAGCTCTAGCTTCAAAGCTTCACTTGCAAAGCTTCACCTACAAAGCTTCAGTCAAATACCGCCTCTGAACAATCGCCACTTCGGCCCATACATAGATTCGATTTGAAGTCTCCAGCCAACAGACTCTATTGACCGAAGACTTGGGGGACTACATTATGTACCATATATTGGGCCTTTACTGGGCCTCATGAAAAATACTTGGGGGACTTAGCCCATTATTTATGTATTGAGGAACGAACCCTTATTTTATAAAAGGGACTCTCTCACTTTCATTAAAGAGCACCCATTATTTATGTGTTGAGGAGTGAGCCCTTATTCTATAAAAGGGACTACCTCACTTTCATTAGAGAGCACCAATTATTCATGTACTGAGGAGCGAGCCCTTATTTTATAAAATGGACTCCCTCATCTTCATTAGAAAGCATCGCCGCCTGCTGAGCAATCGCCTCGCTGTGAGCATCACTCTTAACCTATCACTTATGTATTGATGAGCAAGCCCTTAGTTTATAAAAGGGACTCCCTCACCATCATTAGAGAGCATCGCCGCCTGCTGAGCAACCACCTCGCCGCGAGCATCAACTCTAGCCCATCATTTATGTATTGAGGAGCGAGCCCTTATTTTATAAAAGGGACTCCCTTACCTTCAACGGCACAAGCCGAGCCAACCAAGGCAACATAAGCCACAAGCCAAGCAGCCTCGCAACATGTGCTACTTGTAGTTGAGCATCATTTCACTTCGAGCACCGCCTCATATCAAGTATCAGTTCAAGACATCTAGTTACTTCGGCCCACACATGGACTGAATTTCAAGTCTCCAGCCAAAAGACTCTCTTGACTGAAGACTTGGGGACTACTGTTTGTACTATACTTAGGGCCTCCGTATTTAGACATCGTATAAATACTCGAGGGACTTAAATGTAATTATGTAATAAAGGAAGGGGCAAATATGTAATAAGTGAGGAGCCCTTATTCTATAAAAGGGACTCCTCACCCTCACAATTAGGGCAAGCCTCCTCACCCCCAGAGACCTCACTCTCACCTCACAAACTCCCTCACATTCAGAGAGCTTCATTCTCACACTACAAAGGCTCTCTCCCTCACAATCTTCTCAGAGAAATACAATAATCAGTGTCGACGTAGCTCAAACATTGGGGTGAACCACGATACATCTTGTGTTATTTACTTTCTTGCAGATTCACGGTCGGATTTACGTTGTTCCAAGACCCCTCCGGTTTTGTGCATCAACACATTTAATTCATAATACAAGCGGAATGTGTGACATAAAGTGCTATTACAAGTGAATTCAAAAGCAGAGAGGATGACACGATATCACTGGTAAGGGAATGCCTCGTAGCTCGGATCGTATGCTTCGTTCCTATGTCCTGAGGGAGCGCAAAACAAAACATGAGTGGACCAAGTTGATATATATAATACTAAAACAATTATTCATCAACGTATTACAAAGAACATGAAAATTGATAAAGCATGGTATTCCAAAATATTCTCAGTAAAACATGATATCTCATAATAAGTAAAATCTAATTTACTCATAAAACGTAACCATTAAATCATGTTTTTCATGTATGCATTTCTAATAGTAAAATATGAATTTTAGAAGGGGTCCACTCACATATACTCCGTCGTCGAAGAGCGTGCAAAATAGGAGGGATGGAAACGCCGTTAAAAATAGCACCTAAGCACATAAAGGGTCCAATTAATAAAACTCTACCATAACGATTGAATTTCTGAAAAGGACGTCATAAACGGATTCAGGACATCTAAAAACATAAGGGGGGACCTCGAGTACCCCCCACGTGCCGCTGCAAAGTGGCTGCTTTGAGGTCACCTGCCGAGATGGGTCGTGGGAAAGTTTGCCGAAAAAGTCGTCAGCGCCGTTATGGATGGCAACGTGTGTGCTCCACGCGCCGACACTGACGACACTTCATACGCAAACCAAGCGGCAGCTGGGTCTGGGCTCCGACTGGTTTTAGGCCTGGGCTTGGGGTTTCTGGGCTGAGAGGTTTGGGCCTAGGTTTATTTGGACGAAGGCCCAAGTCAGCATGGCCTAAAGGCTTGGGTTCAAAAGGATTTTGGGCTTGGGTTCTAACGGGTTTTGGGCTTGAAAGCCCCACCCAAAGCTCTGGGCTGGATGACTCGTTTTAGGGTCTTTGGTCAAGTATGACCCTTTTTTGACGATGGAGAAGACCGGAGCTTCCCGAGCTTAGATCGACTCTGTTACTCAACCCTAGGGTGCGATCTAGCTATCAAATTGAAGCTTAGAAAGAGAGGAAGATATTCGTACCTAAAACACGCCATGAGGTGGCTGGAGTAGGCCGGAGTTTAATTCGAAATCCACGGGGCTCGCCGGAGTCTCTAAGCCTTTGCACCAGTTCCCTTAGTGCTACCTTCTTGATCTTGGGTTCGAGGGTTGGTGTCTGTGGGTCGTGGGTTCAAAAGTTGGTATGTGTGTCGTCGGAGGGGTGAGAGCACAGAGAGAGAGATTTGCGAGAGGGAGAGAAAGTGTAAGCTGAGAGATAAAGTACTTATGGGAGAGAAGACAGAATGAGAGAAAGAAAGTGGGGAGATGGAGCTGCCATGTGGCAGTTAGTGAGAGATGGAGAGTTAGGAGGAAATCCAAAAAGGGGATCTGGATTGGGCAGTGGATAGGGGACAAAAATCATAAGTGGGGCCCATGGTTCGCAAATTAATAATGTAAAGAACGAAACACAAAAATATCTGAAAACGTTCGACGTTCGAACGTAGAATCTTCGTTATAAATCCAAATCTGAATCTGTTTGCGCCTACACATTTATGGCAATAAGTACGTTAAGAATAAATTAGAAAAAGTAAAACTACATGTTTCGACGAGACGGTCAAACAAAGTCAACTCAAAGGCAAAATGGTAATTTCATAAGTCCATAATTATGAAAATATACTAAATTTGGGACAGGGTTTCACAACCATAGATCTCTAATTATAACTTTTCTTTACACTTAGTACTATAGTTTGGTAGTGTTCCTCATCACTTGTAAGTGAGAAGCGTTAGGTTCGAAACTAGTGAATGACAAGTTCGATATTAAAATCATTGTATAAAAAATATCACTTTTCATAATAAAATACACAAAAATAGGACTAATAACCTAAATAACAGATTTCAAAGAACAGACGTTTGCTTCCCATTTATTACCTAAAACACAAATTAATTAATAGAAGTATCAGATGCATTTCTTGGTGCCACAAGCTATGTTTTGGCATACTGTTGGACCCGGGACCAAAAATACGATATCACCTTATGCAGTACTAGAATTGTATGGGTAGAAGAATTAGAGCTCGTTTGGTTGTGCTTTTGAAAGCGCCAAAAGCGCTTCCTAATGAGTAAAAGCGCTTCAGTTTAAAAAAATGGTTGTTTGGCAAACACTTTAAAAGTGCTTTTAGCTAGAAGTAGAAGCATTAAGAAGCGTTTTCTAAGAAGCACCTAGGAGGTGCTTCCTCCTAAAAGTGTTGCACAAAGAAAACAAGGGAAGCACTTTGCTCCCTTTAATGAGTTTTTTTTTTTCAATCCCAAAATTATCCCTATTTTTTAATTTGCAAAGTCTAAAATGCCATTCCACTTTATAAAATCATCAAAACTACCATCACCAATTTTTTCTAGGGTTGCACGTTGAAAACCCAAAATATTTTTTATTTTCAGATTATTTTGAAGGCTAGAGCAGTCCACTTGGTCTCCATCTCTTCCTCTCCATCTTCCCAAATCTCTCTACATCTTCATAACCTGAAATTTTTGTGGAGGTATGTATGTTATTTCTTATCTTAAATTTGTATGTGGTGTGACAATTTTATCGATTATATAT